TGCATAGCGTAATGAGGATTTAAATTAAAATATTAAATCAATGAAAAAAATCCCGATAAAGTAATTTGCCTGGGAGCCTTTGCGTGTTTTCAGTATTAGTCACATGACAGTGGGCGTGGCCTTATGACGTCATCACTAGTGTTCTGATCATGAAAAAGCTAAAACACATGAAATAACTCTGAACTAACTGAAAATGATGAGGTTATATGAGAATAAATTTTCCTTAGTAAGGGCTCGAAAAGATCGGTTAATGGGCCCTTAATATTGATATCATTGTAGGAGCTGTGTTCAAAAGGGAAAGATGGTTTCTACAAAGGACGTGTAGCTAAGGCTATAGTTGATGTTGTTCGAGAACATGGAGGACTGTTATCTCTTGAAGACTTAGAACAGCACTGCAGTACTTTTGACCAACCCATCTGTACTTCTTATCGGGGGATCAATATTTGGGAAATGCCACCAAACGGGCAGGGAATCACTGCACTTCTGGCCTTGAATATTCTGGAAGGATTTGACATCAAAGGTTAGATGGTACAAAGACCATGGTGAAGAAGTTTTCAAAAAAGGGTGCAAATATTAATATGGTCTGTCTTACAGTTGAACGATATGACCGCTCCATAAGCACCAGTAGAATGCACCATACAACCTGTAGCAGTAGCAGGTGGTAGTTAGAACTTCTAACATGGATGAGTATATGCAGCAGCAGTAGCAGAACCAACAACACGGGAGCGGCAGCAATAGTGGTTGGGGCAGTAGTTCTAGCAGTAAATAACAGCTAGGCCCGCTATCAGGCATCTTTTGCGATTGCAGGATACCATCAGTAGCAGTAGCTGCAGTAGCATTAGGAGCAGCATTAGAAGCAGTCGCATCACTAACAGTAGCATCAGCAGTGGTTGTAGCAGTAGCATTGGTCGCAATGACAACAACAACAGCAGTAACAGTACAATCAAATGCAATCAGCAGCAGTGGCACATTAGTAGCAGTCAAATTAATATTATCACGATGGCAAGCACTTATTGATTTAAAATGAGACTTGAAAGGGCAACATAAAAGTTTAAAATAATTACATTCATTCATAATTTACGTGAATTATGGAGTTCAAAGCATTAGACCTTGGTCAAAACAAAATCGGTTCATTGTGAGTTATGCATTTTTGTCCTTACTAATTATGCCATTGGTGTGTGTGAGAGAGAGAGACAGCAGAGAATTTGAAGTGGAAATCAAAGGCTTGGATCAGTTTGAGCTGGAGTCCTAGTTTGAACCATAACAACAATGCCTATTTCCTCCCTAGGAATGGCACACAACTCAAGTGAATACGTTCACACTGTTATTGAGGCGCTGTCGCTAAGCTTTGCTGACACTCTCTGGTATAATGCTGACCCGAGCAAAGTCAAAGTGCCTGTGGGTGAACTTCTGCACAAGGACTATGCTGCAAAACGTCGAGCTCTGATCAAACCAAAAAGGTGGGCATATATTATTGACGGCAGTGTAATTTTCATGGATACATTTGTAAAAAAATGATATTTCCTTGACAATAAGTATGGTTTCACCATAAGTGGCGCCTAAATGTGAGCAACACGTGATCTGTATTGTGTTTCTTTAATCGGCTCGAAACTTGGATGTTTCTCTTACGGGGAGGAAGTGGGTTTGTGACGGGAGGTGTGTGGTTTTTCAGACACCCTGTTAGTTATTGCAGAGATCCCTTACTTGTACTGATGTATTGGTTGTTAAAGTGGGTGCCTTTCTATTAACGCGTTTTGTATACGTGGTTTACAGAGCACTAGGAAGCTATCAACGAGGATCACCATTCAGTGGCAGTGACACTGTTTATTTCAGTGTGGTTGATGATCAGGGCAATGCGTGTTCTTTCATCAATAGTAATTACACAAATTTTGGAACAGGTCTTGTTCCTGAGGGATGTGGATTCACTCTCCAGGTGCGTAGAGTACCACCTTCTATTACATAGCAGAGCTAGCGGGCAAAATCAACGAAATTCTGCACAGTGATTGGCTGAATTACCCAGAATCCTTCATTTACTAATGTTGTTTGGTGATTTGCCCTTGTTCCTTATTGTTTGACCTCTACTGCATTTCGGTCCATGAACATACAAGTTGTATTTCTCTACTTCCTTATTTCTTCGTCAGATTTCTTTTTCCTAGGCAACGGTAAACAAATGAAATAAAAGGAAAATCCTGTATTCAAGAAAAACCTGTGTCAACAAAATTTTCCGGAATGATGGCTCAACCCATCTTCTCAAAGACGTACAAAATTTTTAACTCAAAGAGCACTGTAGACTTAAACACTGGTCTCGAGGAAATCAGTTTTGTTTTCCCGAGAATCTCGATGTTGCCCGAGATTACGTTTTCTGGTGTTACCGCACATTTGTTAAAAACAGCAGGCCCCCTTGTTTGTAATATACCTTTGGACAATTTCTTTTTCTACAGAATCGTGGAGCCAATTTCTCACTTCGTGCTGATCACCCAAATGTCCTAGAGCCAAGGAAGAGACCCTACCACACCATCATCCCAGGAATGGCCACTCGGGGGGATACTGGAGAGTTATATGCTTGTTTTGGTGTCATGGGAGGCTTCATGCAACCACAAGGACATGTTCAGGTTAGCCTGGCGAGTTAATCCTCGTTAATCCTTGTGAGAATGCCATAAAAAGTTGAAACTTTCACTTTACCAAACGTTGCGCAAAACTAGTGCATGGAGTAACTCTGAACGCCGTTCATGTACATCACCACATGCTGAGATTTCATCTACAAACACTTGAATTGAAATGACCTGTTATTTTATCCTTACACATCAGACTAGTTGCATAAAGTACTAATTGGCGCCTTGGATTTCGGCTTAATGATGTGTGTCACTAAATCAGTGTAACCCTGACTCTTTGTAGAGCTCTAATCTGACTTGCGGTTAAGCAGAAACAGTAAAATTTAACAATTGCGTAAGCAACGAGCTTAAAGTAGAAAGAGTGCTAGTTTGACGTCCTAAGAGAATAAAATGATATTTGGATTGCAAAAAAAAAAAACAAACAAAGAAAACTATTTCTGTAGTTGTTAAGAGAGCTCTGCAAATTTACCTTGTTTTCCAGCATTTTCTTTGGTTTCGTGACAGATTACTGGGATGTTAGTTGGTTAGAAGCTAAAGAAAAGCTGCAGCAATTGTTATTCTTGGGTCTCGCATGCTAGTATAAGTAATCTCTTTTCCGGAAGACACCTCTTAAAAATCTGTTACTTAAGTTCTTAAGAAGAGCTTTATTTTCATTGGTTCAAATTACTTTCTGACCAGGTACTTCTCAATATGATTGATTTTGGAATGGACCCTCAAGAGGCTTTGGATGTACCTCGATTTTGTATCAGTAGTGAGGGACAAGAACTTGGGACCGTTTTCCTAGAAGAAGGCATCTCAGAAAGCGTTGTAAAAAAGCTTACGGAGCTTGGGCACAGTGTTACGTACCCTGTATCTGGACATAGTAGGAGTGTGTTTGGTCGGGGCCAAATAATCGCTCGCAAGAGTGCACCCTGCAAAACTGGACCAAATAGATCTGTTTACTGGTCTGGATCAGATCCTAGAGCAGATGGATTAGTTGTTGGATTTTGACAAATAGCAGTACTAAATCTTTACCCGAATTTAACAAAACGACCTTGCGATTGTTGTTCAGCTTACAAATACTGTGACAGACACTTAAACAACAGCAAAAACACGTGATTACATGCATAGATCTACAGCGGTTAAGTTTTCACTTTCCTATTTTTTTTGGCTTTGCTTTGCGTTTGGCATCAGCCCCAAGCATTTGCTTCGTGTTGACTGAGTTGTGATTGGTTCATTGGATTACCCGTGTCCTTTGTGATTTACCCGACTGACAACTTTAAGGTTGGTTTTTACGACACTCAGTTTAAAACTGCTCTAAGCGTAACGTAATTGGAAACTGATTGGTTCTTAGCTTGTCCTATTTTTCACTTGATTGGAGTGCGGACAGCTCAGGTGTCCAACAGAATAACAGATAGATGAATATTATTGAAGACTCCTTTTTATTGCTCAGACCTTTTAAAAAGGGATTTTCCAATTGAATTTAAATTATAATTTTACTCGTAATTATACAAATCGAGCTGCCGTCACAAGGTCAGCCGAAGTAGTGTAACTACGACAGACAGTTTAAAACAATTTCAATCAATCTCAAGAGATCATCAAATATATATTTTCAAGTAAGTAATCTTTTAACTTTATGTACTTACAGTTTTTATGTAGTCTGTATTTTGATTGTTTACTTGTTTATTAATTAATGTACATTTATGTTATTTATTAGTGGGCTTCCTGGGAAGAGGCCTTTTAACTAAGCGGAGTTTTTCACTCTAAATAAAGAATGGCCTTATCTTACCTTATTGCATTATAACAGACAACGCCTATTCGCACTGCATAAAATATCGATATCGCATGTAAGTCAACAAACCAAATGAGTAATTTGACCTTGTCGATTGCAGCGGCCTAGAGAATATACTAAGTGTAGAGGAACCGGTACTGCCAAAAGAATGTCACCAAATCTCTTCCACCGTTTGAGGATAATGCCCAGAGTAACTTTTTGTTCTACCCACCCGCCCACCCGCCCACCCTATAGCTTATAAATTGCACTGTAACTCTTGTGGCATTGCAGAATTTTTTTTTCCCAATAACTTAATGAAAAACGATAATTGTTGCAGTGCGTAATAGGATACTTTTCACCGGTTTGTTTTCAACATTATAACGATAAACATGTCAAGCGTACTTTGGCAACAGTTTAAATGGTGCACCATGTCACATTTTGGTACCTGCCTCATCCTTAGTCGCCCGCGCGATAGTAAAAAATTATAATAGTTAATTATTGAGGAGGGGCGCAGGGAATCATGGGAGGACAGGAAATTTCTTTCCCTCTTTTTCTCCTTCCCAGCGCTCCCTGCGCTCGCGCTCTTTACTCGCCACCAGCTCCCGCTCGCGCCTTCTTGCGCACTCCCAGTCTTCCAATCGCCCTTTGCACTAAAAATAAGAAAACCCCGTGGAGGAGGCAGTTTTGGTACAACGAACTGAATTTTGGCGGACATTTTGCCGCCATGTATGCATCACTACAACCTAACGCGAAAAGAGATATGTATTTTTTCACACTGTGTCGTTGTAGTCCAACTTAGAACCACTTCAGTCGTCGGAACTTTCAATTTGGTACATTTTAATTTCCTATTGCGCTTGTGGCTATTATTTTACCGATATCTGAGCAACATGTTTCCACTAGTTTGTTCGAGATCGGAGAACGCAAAACATTACAAATTACGGACTTAATTGTGATTGGTTAGTATCATCACCGAGTAGAAAGTTCACCTCTGTAGCCAAAATATTACCGTCCGTTTCTTCAGAAATGAAACAAAATGTCCTTATGCCCTTCTGATGAGTCAGTTTCGTGTAAAATACGAGCCAGCCAGGAAAATCGCAGTGTATTTATAAACTGGGAGACTTGGCCCCCGTCCACACGTATCCGGATATTTTTGAATCCGCAACTTTTTCTTCCCGGATACGGCTTCCGTCCACACGCATCCGGCGAATTCGGCAGCGAATCCGGATATTTTTGCTTCGTGTGGAAGGGTAAATTTTTGAATCTGGGAAGAAAAAGTTGTGGATTCAAAAATATCCGGATACGTGTGGACCGGGCCTCATACATGTAACACCCTCTTCCCACCACCCCTCGACACTTTCCTCAAGTTATGATTGTGCCGAATTTCCACTGGACGGGCGTGTTTAGGATGACAGCGTATTGTCCAAGGCAGTCCCACGCCATGGAATACGACGCTTGATACTTCCAATCCCTTATTATGAACCTATTTACCTACTTTAGGAACGGCGAGTAGAAACTTTATTTGTACTTAAAACCACTCGTGACGTTTCGCATGTCCCAGTTTATCACTCATCAAAATAAATTGCAGGAAAAACTGCTTATGATATGATAAATCAATTCGGTGTTTTGTCAAGTAATGCGAGTCCTTCTTGGCTTTAGCATTTCTATTCATAATACTAGTCTTCATACTTTTTCTCCGGCATGTTATAATTTCAGCCTCTATCTCATAACGCTGGTTTTCACTAGCGCACAAGAAGAAGGCCTAAGCGGACATACGCCGCAAGGTGATGTCAAGTGTCGCCCTTTTGCTGGGAAATTGTTCTAACAAAAAGCGACAGTCATCAACATCGTACTGCGTCTATGGCCCCGTCCACAGCTACGCCGGAAGAATTTGAAAACGGAGCTTTATTTCTCCGGTTAGGCCTTCCTTCCACACTAATCCGGAGCTTTTCGAAAACGCTCTTCAAACCGGAGGAATTTGGAAACGCCGGCTTCGCGTTCTAGGGTGGACAGAAAACATTTTCAAAACGAAGCTTTTCGAAAACGATGAGGTTACGATAATCAGGATATTTGCCTGTCCGAGTCAAACACAAACCCACAATGACCGGTGATTGTTGCGTTTTTGAATTTCTGTGGCCTAATGTGGACGGAAATTCAGAGTGAAACCTTCGTTTTCAATTTCTCCGGCGTAGTGTGGACGCTGCCTATGTCGGCTCATGCTTATTTATGCTTGTGCACTTGTGAAAACCAGCCTATACTTTCGCCGTTCACCAATAATCACCATTTATTAGAGGTCGGGCACTGGGGTCTATGAGATTTAATGATTTTTTTTTTATTCAATGCCGGCATGAAATTTAGCTCTTTGTGAATATCTGCGCTGGCTTATTAATTCTTGAACAATGTAAAACAAGTCATGAATTCGTTTCACAATTTATAATAAATAAGGCCAATAAATAGCAAGCAATGTTCTTACTTATATGTATTGATTTTACACATTTTCTCTTTCCCAAAGCACTCATATTTTTTTATGAATTTTGATTGATTTATTGAGTAACCCTGATCGTATTTGCAGCAGTTCAGGCGTACTCGCTTGCAGGTTTCGTTAACCAATCTAAAGGTACATCAGTATTACACAACGTACTCGTATATTGTATTCTAGCGTGCTACAAAAACCTATGAAAATATTTCGACGTTTTACCGTTGATTTATTCATTAAATTTCAACTGGTCCAACTGAATTGACGTCTTGAGGAGTATGCTTTTCAAGTCAGAGGCTTGAAAAATAAGGTTCAGATCATAACAGGCATAAATCATGACCAGAAAGAGTATTTCCAAGTCACTTGGCGTAGGCTACCATGACAACATTGTCTCCTCTGACAAACAACTGGTTTACATGACGTTGTTTAAATATCAAACGCTTGTTGCCACCAATTAAAAGCGTCTTTGACAGTGTTTTGTTGTAGGAGCTTGTCTCAGGATCATTCATACTTATCTCTTGATCTGCAGTTTTGAGCTTATCGCCCCCAGGAGAGATTACTTCTTGTTCAGAACGTCCAAGCTTCAAGGAAGGTGGCTGATTTTGTCTGTTGTTATACTCGCCACGTTTCATGGACGGTGTAGGCTTTTCAATTGTAGAAACATCAACTGGTAATTTTGAAGAGCAACCATTTCCTTTCTCGAGTCGCAATTTCTTAGCTTGCCTCAGGTCCGTGATATCTACAGCCCTTGAACGTTTCTTTGTATTTCCTGCCTTATCCCTTTCAACATGTCGAGCCTGTACTTTCGCATTAGAAGTGACATTGGAAGGCAACTTTTTAAGAACTTTTCTTGGTGTAATTCGTAGAGACGCTTTCACAGGGGTCTTAACTCGTTTCGTTTTACCTTTATCACTGTGGCGGCCATGTCTCTCTACACCATCCATTGTTTTTGTTTCACCTGTCGCTTTGGAAGAGTTTTCAGGCTTGTTTTGCACTTTACCGTCTGAGCTGAGAAGAGCTGAACTAGTTTTCTCGCCTCCTTTGTTAACTTTGTTATCGATTTTCAAGTGGGTTAGGACATATTCTTTCTTTGCTGTTGTCTCGTTATCAGAGTGAGGCCGTAGACTGCTTTCAACGCGAGACTCATTTCGGTGTTTATCTGGATCATTTAGAGAGAGCTTGGCTGTTGTGTTAATTTCCATCTTTTCTTTCTTAACACGTGAAGGTGCCTTTTGCGAGTCCAAGACTTGAAGACACACATTTGTTTTAACTTTCGGCCTCGACACAACGCGTGAATCTTTAGCGGTTTTTCTGTGTCCTCCCTTACAATCACGTGGCTTTTCTGTGTCTGAAGTGTCGAGTTTGATCATCGATTCTTTTCCCTTCACCATTGTCCTATTACGCTGATCACTGCGTGACAATCTTGTCTTTCTATTGCCTTGAGTCTCAAGACGAACTGTCGAGTCTTTAGATGTTTTGCTGGGATTAACCTGAGATGTATCGCAACCCTCGTGTATCTTCTGTCTTGAGGTTGTAGGACTCGCTTTTTTTGCCTTAACATCGTCTCCTTGCAGAGAATTGTCACACTTTCCTTTAGTTTCGTTTACAAACTTAAGGCTACTTTCTGTTGTCTCATCCCTTCGCTGGCTGCTTCCAGGTTTTGTTTCATTGGAGGCCCCAGAGCTTCGCGGTCGTGTTTCTCTTCTTTTTACTTGAGACGCTCGCTGTAGTTTAGTGCTCTTAACGTTCGCTTTATTCTCAGTTTTCGTTGAGTCGCGCACACTCTTTCCTTGAACAGGCTTTTCCACAGTGCTATTCCTCTCAACACGTTTTCCAGATGTTTCACGAAGACGACTACCTTTCGTTTCATCATTGACACCTGTACGTCTTCCTTTCAGTGACGATCTCGTCTGACGTGCTTCAATCAGCTTTGTCCGTAAATCTGTCTTTTTAAAGCAAGACAAAGAAGCTGTTCTATCACTTCTTGAATTTTCAGGTACTCTAGACCTTTCCTTGGATACCTTGTGAGGTACTTCGCTTAAAGAATGTCGCCTAGGAGGGTAGAGCTCATTTTCTTTTCTACTGAATACACTTTTAGTTTGCGTGAGTTCACTCCTGGGAACACTTGCTCCTCCAGGCTTCTCGTGTGGTGAAGCCTCTGCATCGGACTCAGATGAAGAAAGTTCACCTTCTTCTCTTTCCTTCTTCATATGTTTTGTAGTCTCAGAAGTGTCGTCTTCATCGGAGGTAATTTCGCCTTCTTCTTTATCATCGTCTCCCTTCCTTTTTGATTCATCAATTCTGTTTGTCATTGGAACACGTGGTTTAACGTTCGTTTGTTCTTCGGTTATCACATTGTCACAGGTGAACTCTGCTTCATTCCTTTCAGAGACGTCCTTGCCCTCAGATTTCACAGAAAATTTTGTTGCCGAATGTTCCGAAGAAGAGTTAAGGCCTGTAAATCTCGAAACATCTTTCAGGTTGTTCTCACTTTCTAACAGATTTACCATGGCACAAAGAGAAGTGTTCGAATCTCTTTCATTGTCGGCAGACGCAAAGGTTTCAGCACTGCCTTTATGAGGCGAATAACTCGAGCACTGACTCTCCTGTGATTTAATGAGTTCGCCATCATCACGTTTGCCGTCTTTGTTTTGAGCAGAATATTCACGTGAAACGTCTGTTTCGCTCAGATGTGTTGCATTTTGATCGGTGTCCAATGTCCTTGTTTGTTGTTTTTCTGGCAATTCCTCCAGTTGTTCGTCGTTATGCCCAAACTCTTTACTGACGGCTTGTCGACATTCGTTTTCTTCACGATTACTCGCGGGAACGTGTGTATTGAGACTGGCCTCCTCATCCTTTGAAAGTACGTTATCTGAATTGAGCTCCAAAGCGGAGCATTGCTTATCACTTGATACTGCTCTATTCTCCCTCAATAGACTGTCCGAGTCTTCCAGGTGTTTCCCAGAAACAAAGACGGAGTGTTCTACGGTAGAACATGTAAGATGTAAACGTTTCCCCTCTTCGGACAGAACTTCATGGTTACTCGGCGATGAGTTTAAGGATATTTGTTGAGTTCCAACAACTCCATGTTCGCTCAAACCTTGGCTGATATCGGCATCATCGCTCACTCCAGTTAAAGTACTATAACTTTCTAGTGCAACATCTAAAGCCATAGGAGTATCATTTGTCCCTTCATTTGGCCAGAGACGGCAGTCTTGCAAATTTGAAATAAACGAGTTACTCAGTGAATCAGTTTGAAGCTCCATAGAAGACGAGGACGAGAAAGATTGAATGTGCATCTCAAATGTCTTGCTACATGTAGCTTCTACATTGGCGCAAAGCGTTGGACACGTTTCATATTGCTGGAGAATTTCTCTCACTTGATTGCCTTGTAAATTAAATGAGCTAGTTGTATCAGCCAGACCTTTATCAACCTTTGGGGAGCTTGAAAGTTCACATTCTCCTAATTTAGTACCTTCAGGTGTTACACCCTGGAATATTTCCAAAGTTTCAGTATCTTCACAATCGTTTCTTGGTCGATCGTAATTTTCATCTTGAGCTTTTAGCGGTTCAACAGTTTTCAGTTCCAAGTGAGAAACAGTTTCAAGTTGAGTTGACATGTTCATTGCAGATGTGTCTTTTATTACGGATTTGGGTACATCCATACTTCCTGCTTCCGTGTCAACAGCACTCTTCATCCTTTCACTTTGTAACTGCATCATGCTAAACACGTGAAGTGCTAGATTTCCACTCGGCTCTACATCATTCACATTGCATTCACTTTTGACCTTTATATGGCTCGACCCTTCATATTTCTCCTCTTCGTCGGTTGCACACTTTATTCCAAAGCTTTTGTTGGACTTGAAAAAGACGGCTTCACCGTCAAACAAACTTGACACACCCTGAATTACTTCCTCGCCGCTTAATGACGTATCACAGACTCCTTTATCAACCTCCTTTGAACATGGCACGTATTCATCATTGTTCTGAAACTGGTCATTTGGGCAACTTTCACTTTCTCCTAATTCAAAACACTCGAGTTCTGTCAAAGGCGAATCGTTGTTAGTTCCAGCAAAACGTTCATTCTGTTCATTGTGTTCTCTGCCATTTCGCAACCGCTTTTGTTGGTCCTTGTGTCTAATGTCATTATTTTCATTTACCAATCGACTGCCATCTACAGAAATAACACTGTTCTGCTTAACGTCCTTTGACAACTCGGCCGTTTTATGTTCTAATATTGTGTTAACTGCATTGTTCGTGTCAACAGATATGCAACCGTCTTCTAACACTGCGAAGTCACTTTCATGAGCATCGACAGAAAAAACAAAATGTTGTTCTTTGGTGATAGATGGAGAGACACCCAAATCCTTAGAGTTTCTAACTGCATGTATAATATCATTATTTTCACCGTCCGTTTGACGTAAGAGTGTATTTCTATTAATAGCTCCAGGCTCGTTTTTCTCTTCAAAGTCGCACTGTTGAGTTTGGGTGGTCACTTCCTCGTCCAATAAGACAACGTCGGCTACTGAAGCATTAGTCTCTCTAATACCTTTACTATGACCAGACGTACTTGTACCGATCAGATCCAAGGATTCAGCTTCCATAGTTCGAGAATCAGAATCATCCAACACTAACCCATTGTTTACATTTGAATCTCCTGTATCTTCGTGTTGTTCAGGATTGCATTTACCGGCGGCGTTCGTTTTGTCCTCTGTGAGAGGTGAACCTTCAGCATGAACAAAAGGAAGGATTGCAGTTTGTAAAGCGACGCTAAGAGCCTTTGCTGATGGCATTGATGACTCGTCATCTCTAGTGTCCATAGAATGGTCACAAACGGAATAACCTTCAGAATTGCCTCCAAAATTGTTACAGTCCCTAAGTACAGTGCAATGTAAAAACTGTGGCGTAACATCACTAGATGGGAGGAACTCTGTGTTAAACTGGGAATCAGATTCAGAAGCAGACACTGCATGGAGTTCTTTGCTGTCGGTTTTCACATTAGCAATTCTTTCTTCATATGTTTTCTTTGATGGAGTATTTAAGACTTCATTAGACGGCACTAATAAAGAATTTTTTTTTTCAGCAATTGTGTTGTCAATGGTTTCACCTGAAGTTTTATTTTCAACTGGTGACATTGTCTTTTTCTTTTTCTTCTTCTTTTTCTTTGTTTCTAGAGACTCATCTTTTATCTCTTGTTGTTCAATTCGTTCTTCTAAAGTGTAGACTTCATCGACATCAAATAGGGCCTGTGAAAATAGAGAGACAAATTAGCTATCAAAAGTTTCAGATCACTGTTTTGAGCAGTTCTACCAGTTATAAACTGTTGCAACATTAATTGAATAAAGGCCCAACAATATTTTTGTTGCAATTCCAACGCTTCACCCCTTCTCCNCCCCCCCCCCTCCACTGAAATCAAGCTTTAAAGTTTACAGTTAAGCCTCTCCTTTCCAAGTTGACAAAGTGCTTGGAGATTGGTGTCTACTGACATTACTTCAGGAAGAGCACATGAAGAAGGCATTGACTTCCAAACAGAAGGATGTAAAATTAGCCATCGTGTTTCACGTTCTTCAAAATTCTTAGAAACTATTCATTTCACGTTATTCTCAGTTTGCAGAAGACGCCTAATAAATGTATATTTAGTCATTGTCCTGCTTGAAATCATGGGTGTACGGGCACCTTCGGACTTGAGGGTTGCAGGGTGGGATGACCTTCTTGCATGAAAAAAAAACTGCACAATGCCCTAATGGGTGAGTGTTGAAATCGGGATACTATTACGCAACCCGATTGCAACAAAACAAAAACATTCACAAAAATGGTTATTTGGAATCCTCGCAAACTCTATGACCTCGATCGACAGCCTAGTAAAATCAGAAAGATAAAAGAAAAAGTTAATTTCTTCCTCGTACGAAAAGCTCAAGAAAACTTTTAAAACAGCTCTTTGTGAATCCATTTAAAACGGCTCTTTTCAGAGCCACCACAAAAACAAAAGTCTTGGTCTTCGTTTGCTTTGATTCCCCCCACCCCCAGACTGTTCACCTATGCTTGTTGTCACTGCTGTCCTGGTCTGTAAATTTTTTTGCTGCAAAATTTGTCATTCCCGAAATGATGTCAAGATCATATTAGAACTTACGCTCTGTTCTGTTGAGACACTCAGTCAACTTGGATGGTGTGGCTCAAGCGGAAACTTTAAAGTTTATTTCTAAGAAAGCTGATTTCAGAGGAAAATCTAATCTTTACAAAAACACCAAAACTGTAAGAACTCTGCAGGCGATATAGACACTTAAAACTGTTGAAAAACACCAAGGGAATTTATGTACTAGGACACCTTACAATAATAAAGTTGTTCTAAATCACACTGTAATTATTGTCAACACTCAAAAATTCAGCTTGTGTAAGATGAACATGTACAAAAAGACGATTATTTTAAAATCTATTGCAATGAAAATTCTCAATCGTGATTGGTTCTCTACATGCCTGCTTGTCGCGTAATTCACGCGTGATCACGTGGGTGTCCAATTACACGTATCCAACTACAACAGTTTTTAATTGAATAACTACACCAATTGCATGTCCGTTAACTGCACTTTAATGGATTCCTTCTTAGAGTTTCCTGCTAGAAAGTTTTTAAAATTTATGGACAGTGCTACTGACTTTTTTGCTCAGAAGTTCTAAAAACACATCTTTTTTAATCTCGAAATTTTTCATGGATCCAATTAATTAGTAATTGGGCCTCGCGTTGGACAATTCCTAAGGTAATTGTGCTCGCAAATTCAAATCTGTGTCACGCTGCACCCACTTCCAATTTTGAAATTACTCATACAATTTCTCCCTGAATTGTTCTTCTCTCAGTCCAATTACTATTACAAATCACAAAAACTTTTTTTCAAAACTGTGTGAATTAGTGCTTACATGTAAGTGTACATGTGAAACTTCAAAATTAGACTAATAATAATAATAAAAAAGCAATAAATAACAAATGTTTGACAAGTAATTCCTATTGAAAACAGCAGTTGTACAACTTGATTACTCTACTTATTATACTGACCAGATTCATGTGCTTGTCAAAGGCAACAAGGTATCCAGCCAAGACGCTGCGCAGTCCTTTGTATCTTCTAGTCCATACCTTTACTCTCTGTCTCTCAGTGAGACAGGTGTAAAGGATACTGAATGGTCCTTCCGCAAGAGCTATGGAAAACAAATAAATAAAACGGAGGCAACTGAGTTCATCTCAAGCTGAAATGAATAAATAAATTTTGACCTTTTTATAACAAATTCAAGAAAATAGGTTATGAAAATTAAGCAGCTAATCATTTCATGAATATCTTGAATAAAAGCTTAATTCTACCATGGACACTTACAGTAAATGATTATGTGAAAACAGTAAGAGTTAAGAAGGCCAGTCAGGATGAAAAGGATAGAGAAGAGAGAGAAAAAAACATATCCTTGCATGTACAGGCAGTTATAATAAAGAAAAGCCATTTAACGATAATTGCTTATAAGTGCAGGTGCTGAACTCCAGTTTCTGTTGCATGACAGAGCTAGGAGTGTTGCCAATCCTCAACTATTGCCATTAATCTTTATTTTGAAGAGAAATATGATCTCTCTTGGGACTGGCATTTAAAATAATAATTTTCCCAGTAATAAGGTAAAAATGTAAAAATACCACAGAATATGGTGATGGATGTCAGAAACCTGTGATGGACTAGATATATGTACATCTTCATGTTAAATCTTAGCAAAGGGAAGTGACAATACTCCACACTTCTTGCAGCTTCCTTCATGAAAATGCAACTTAAGAGGTACAGTGTGTAACATAGAACATGTGCACATGTAAGTGGCTGGTGTGAAGATTTGAAGTGGAAGACCCTCAAAATCATTATCAGCACCTAATGGGGGTAAACCTTGCTATCAGTGCCGTGTACAGTCCACCCACAACCCTCCCTCAACATGGAAAAGATGCATGGTAAAGGTGAAGCTGCAAAAATTGTGATGATAATGTGTACTGGTCCAGTTTAGGCAACCGAACCTACACCACAGGTAACTTAAATTTGTAAGTCACAAAAAGTAAATGGCCCTTATAGGCTGGAGCTTTAAACATGTGGTAGCAGTGATATAATGTATTTTATACCATGCCAAAGAAATACAGCCAATCAAAATACAGGGATGCCATTGTATATTTGACAGTATTACACTCCACCTTTGCATCATGCACTTTGCGTATGTCGCAGATTGTGTTCGTGACTGTCTTGACATTACTAAATAACTTCCTTTCAGTCTAATCCCTATAATTTTAAGTAGCCACCCTCAGGGAAATGGGAGGTGACCACTTAATAGGGGTTGGCTGCTTAATGCAGGTTGGTCAGGAATATATTATTAGCCCGAGCCTTGGTAGAAACATCAGTAAAGGCTTCTGACTACTGCTGCACATAATAAAGCCTATCACTCTTTTCCTGATGGACTTGTCACAAAGTTTTTTTGCTAATTACTTAGAAACATGTCAAGACAATCATAAGAAACCTCTGTTTCAATGTTTTTATTGGTTGTGAGGCTTCCTATTTGAGCCTTCTATTTGTCACGCCTTTTCCAAACAAAGCCAAACTATGTGTATTAAATTTGGGATAACTGCTTAATAGGGGTAGGGACAGTNTTATCTGGATGCTGTGTGTGTTGTTTAGATGCGTCATCTACATGTAGAAGCTGTGCTTCATTTTAACACCGTCAGATGATGATGCTCAAAGGGAGTTACTTTTTTGTAAAGGAAGTTTTGATCTGTGCTGTTGCCGTGACTGCATGATTACAAAATTATGATCCTTTAATACTGGCCTAGTGTTGACATGTGATTGAATTACTTCCTCCTGCAGGTACTGGACGATAACCATGTATATCGAGTTTGCAGTCATTTTGTTGAGTTTGTAGTTAACACGTAGAGATGTTTTCAAGCCAGTGTCTGGGGCACAAACATTAAAATGTAGAGAAATTGCATTTTAGTTTTCACATTTCATTGGCTTTACGTTTTTACATTATAGGCACTAGCTTTGTTCCTGTTGTCGAATATCAATTGAATTATTCAATACACAGCATGAAATGAAATGAAAGGAAATGAAATTGATCTCTATATATACTGCATAGTTTTCTGATTTCTTTGATTATCTTTGAATTTATCTCTTTAATCTGAATCTGTTCTGGTTAAAATTTATGTTTCATAAATCATACACACCCAAAATAGACTAGGTCATGCCCTATTTTGACAAACAGGCATGTCTGCATATCAATTCAAATGTATAAAAAGGGATAGAAAGGGAGTCAGTCACTACCGCTAATTGTTTCATTTAATTCCTGTCCAACTTGGTCTTTGGTAATGTTATTCAACTATAAATACTAGTAGTAATCAGAGATTATGAAAGTGCGTTTGAAGCTCTCACTTTAATATATATACCGTAAATAAATGATTTCACTAGCTGACTTTCAGCCTTTGTCTATTGGTAAAATCAACATTTTTCAGCAGCAACCGAGGTTTTACAGTCAGATATGCATAGTGTCAAAGTCCATGCTAGTGAAGAGGTCACGATTTGTTCATACATTGCGTGACGCTGCCAGTTTCTGTAGACTCTCAAGTTTCATAGAATATTTAAATTATTCTAAGCTAGCATTTGCAATCGCGTGGTCGTTTCCCGTAAACAAACTCCGTGCGACTAATTCGAGTATTTCCCCTGACGAATAAAGTAGTCTTATGGATCTTGCCTTCAGAGTACTTTTCCACCGATTCCAAACAATAAAATTTCAACTGGATAAAGACTGAGCTATCTGTCCCAACTGGAACTAATCAACAAATGCAATCAAAATGTAGCTGTTCCCACGGTTATCATCCCAAAGCCAAGTTGTGCTAATAAACAAGGAAAATCCTTCAGATTTCGATAAATGCTGCAGTCGAAGCGTTAAAAATTCGCGAAAATCTAATGCTGAGAGCACATAATAGCGAGGCATAGGGCGACTGAATGGAAAGAAGTCAAAGAAAGATCCATTGGAAAGACGAGCTCACGTGGCCTGCTCACATACTCACATGTTCACCACATCTTATCACATGTCTAAGCATTAAACGGTACCAGTTTACTGGCCATGACATGACCCTGCAAAAATCAAGCGGGGTGGCCATTTTGGTATCCTTACAGGAATGTGGGTTTTTCAGCCTATAACCATGCACAGGGAGACCAACTCTGAAAAGCCACAGGTCAAAATTAGGTTTGCTTTCCACTTCGTCGAACGCAATAAAGATTAACAGTTTGTAAACTCTATTGGGAATCACAGAAGTTTTTTCTGTTTGTACGTTTTTCCTACAATTGCAAATAAAACACTATTTGATTTTCTTTATTTGAGGGTCTTCCTTTTGAAGTTCAAGGCATCCTATGGTTTTGCGTCCATTGGCTTCTGTCAAAAAGAGTTTAAACGAAGGTCTTCACTTTATAGTTTGAGCCGGCCTTATCTACAATATGAAGACCCCATTGATTTCACGTCAGTTGACATCTAACAAAGCGTTTAAGCGAGGGTCTTCATTTTATAGTTCAAGCCAGCCCTTTCTACAAAACAAAGACTGCATTGATTTCACATCTGTTGACATCTAACAAAGTGTTTAAGCGAGGGTCTTCATTTTATTGTTCCAGCTGGCCTTATCTACAGAACGAAGACCACATTGACTTCGCGTCAGTTGACATCTAACAAAACATTTACTGTAGGAGTCTTCATTTCATGGTTCGAGCAGGCCCTTTCTACAAAATGAAGACAGCATTGATTTTACATCTGTTGACATCTAACAAAGCGTTTAAGCGAGGGTCTTCATTTTATAGTTCGAGCCGGACCTAATATCTTCGAAACAAAGACCCCATTGATTTTGTGTCAGTTGACATCTAACAAAGCATTTAAGCATCTTTGTTTTATAGTTCGAGCCGGCCTTTTCTAAAAAACAAAGACCACATTGATTTTGCGTCTGTTGACATCTAACAAAGTGTTTAAGCGAGGGTCTTCATTTTATAGTTTGAGCAGCCCTTTCTACAAAATGAAGAACCCACTGATTTTGCATCTGTTGACATCTAACAAGGTGTTTAAGCAAAGGTCTTTGTTTTATAGTTGGAGCCAGCCCTTTCTACAAAATGAAGATCGCATTGATTTTGCGTCTATTGACATCTAACAAAGTGTTTAAGCGAGGGTATTGGTTTTATAGTTTGAGCACCCTTTTCTACAAAACAAAGACCCCATTGATTTTGCATCTGTTGACTTCTAACAAAGCGTTAAAACAAGGGTCTGCACTTTAAAGTTCAAAGTGACGGTATGATTTCAATTTCACGTCAATTGGCGTCTGACAAAGATTTTGAGGGAGGGTCTTCGTCTTATATATCCAGGTGGCCCTTTCCACAAAACGGAGACCCCATTGATTTTGCGTCAGTTGACATCATCAGGGTCTTCATTTTATTGTTCGAATCAGCCTTATCTACAAAGACCCCGTTGATTTTGCGTCAGTTGGTGTCTGAGGAAAAGCTTTGACCCAGTTTAACTGTCTCTGGTTTGATAGGCCTGTTAAAAAACAAGTCTTCGATTTTCGCTCTTGGGTCTTAGATCTTAGGTCTTCGTTTTGTAGTGACCCAGTATTTTTTACCCTTACTATAGCTTCACTAAGAAATCAAGAAACAAATATTTAGAGCAAGTACGTTTTAGTACTGACGGCTCTTACCATCCATCCTCTGTATCACATCCATCCGTTTCTTTCTTTTCTGTTCTGCTTTGAAGGCTTCCTCGGCCAAAATAAATTCCTGTAGTTTTGTGTCATCCATTCTGACATCACTCTTTTTCTCCAATTTTGTGTCCTCTGTGTTACCCGTTTTAGACTCGGCGATAGCTCTGAGCCTTTCTTGCAAATCCTCTTTCTGAAGTGGTCTATATTCTGGTTTTAGGTTCTTTGTTCTGGAGACAGAATGTCGTGATGAGTCCGCAGTGCTTCCGGGCTTCACGACTTCAGTGGACCTCGTCTTACCCTCCTTGATTGCAAGTGCATATTCTGCGACGTTATTGAAAATCTGAATGTTGGGTACAGGTGGCTGAAGGCCTGTGGCGTAAAGAGCCTTTAATGGGTCGAACGTTAGAGATAAAAAATCCAATGTTTCGTCCATCTCCCGGTCCTTCGTCTTTGAAGTTCTGACCGCCATCTTGGAAGCCGATTAGTTTTCAGTCCTTGCGCAACATTTATCCTCGTTTCCAGTGTTGCGCGTCCAAGCGTGCGGCTCTGTCGCAGCAGCGAAGTGGGACAGCTCAAACTCGTCGTATAGTAAATCTTTAACTAGGGTGCGTGTGTCGCTCATGTTTTTTTCACTTTGCTCTTGCGTTATGAAGCAACTTCACCAGGCAGTTTTGTAATTTATAACAATTCTGATCTGGGTGTCAGGAGGCACGCCGGGTCTTATCTGTTAGTTTGCGCGCTGCAGTTCGGAGATGTCCAGCGGAGATCAGCATACTCATCGCCCTTGTGCTGTGTTCTTAACAAGACATTTAGCACGTGACTGAGTCTATATCAACACAGGGAGCTATGGTATCAATCTGGAGGATTCTCTGGCAATAACATTGTATGTTTATGAAATATAGTTGTTTACAATAAACAAAACAAAACAGCAAAAATTTTATTTTTATATTATATATATATACTTGTCTGGTATTTGTTTCTCGGGCTGGTGGTGTGGATGTAGTCGATTTTACCCCTCCTGAGAAAACTTTTTTGTCCGCTTTAAAACTTGTCAATATTAACATGTGTCGCGACAAAAGAAAAATTGTTATGTTGATAAATAATTCATATTCAGACAGCTATCTTTGTTTAGCCAGCCATGGGTTGCTTATCCTTCCGCTGGATAAAACGTATTACCTTATCTCTTGTTTTATTTGGTTTGGCAGTTGCTATCATCTTTTTATTATTTCCTGGGGAGCACGAAAGGTATCCCATTCGGAAAGATTTAAACAACACTGTTGATCAAGGATGGAGAAATTCAAGATATTAGTGTGTTTTCGGGAAAATTGGACAAGGACGATTAAGTCAATTGCAATCAGTGCCATTCGGTCGGTCAGTGATCCACGGATACAGCCGAGTTCCTTAGACAAAAATCGCTTTAAAATGGAAACAAGCGACAACTACAGGTCAACAAGCGCCACAGAATTTGAAACGAGGTCTGTCTGCGACACCTACACGCTTGGTTGCCGCCATTCCGCTGATATGTGCATTTAAAGAAAGTGATAAACGCCGTAAACTCCGTAAACTGACCTTTAGTTTGAAACAGATGATACTATGGTCGCATTCTCACAATTGACCAAGCAGACGGAATTATATAATTATCGAAAAGAAATAGTTAAGGTCTAAATAAGCGAAAACTAATTTATATTCACAAGTTAAACAAACTTGCGAAACTTGATATATATGTAAATCCGGCTGTTATTGTTTCGACGCATGGATGAACATCTAAATGAAAAACTGAAACTGTAATTATTTTGTCATAAATATCAGTACTCGTTTTACAAGTATTAAAGCATGTAATGGATTGTAGCTTGAATAAAAAGTCCACCTAAGAGTAAGGGGCATGTTTTATTTTATTGCCTAGCCTCTGCAGCATTCAATAACTTCTTAATAGCGAATATGCCTGAATAAAACTGAATTAGTTAACAGGTGAACAATTCCCGAGGAAACTAACCGTGGAACTAAACCAGCCTTTTATGACACAAAACTCTTTGAAACCATCGATCAATAGAGCATAGATGTATTAAAACCGCGTATCTTCACTGACTGAAGTGCTGATAACTAGAAAATGTTGTTTGTGGATTAAAGGGATGGAAGGGAAAACTTATCTGTGTTCCTTAGCAGATATGAGTATGACAGAACCCCATAGGATTCAATAAGCTACTAGACTACTCTTCACAGAAATAAGAAACACTATGGAAGCTTTATAAAATATCGAAACAGCCAAGCGAATACTTGCCCACGACTCGCGAAACATTCTTATGATTTTTTATTACGGCTACCTTCTCATAGAGCGAAAGCGATGAGGGAAAATTTAAACATTTATGATGGCTGGTTTCTTAGACATCATCATGATTGGTTCGGTATTCATCTTGTCTCTGGTGGAATCATTTCAAACAAAGGAACAATGTTTTAGTAAAATTTAAAAACGTCATCTGGCTAAAAATGGCATAAAACAGAAGCTTTTGACTACCCTTAACTGCGGTCCTCCAAGGGCGAAACGATAAAAAGGACTCTAAAATTGTAAAATACACTGTGATAAAAAGAATACATTAGAATAAAAAATTGGTTTTTGTTCTATTGTATTCTTCCCTTTTTTATCATTTGGCCGGTTGAAGACTGTTGTTTAGGGCAGCTAATCGAAAGCTTCTGTTTTTATAGCATTCATTTAGCCTGAACGTTTTTATATTTTACTTTATAATATAGATAGGACCCTGCGCGCGTTCTGATTGGTCAAAAAACCATCTTTTATCAGAGTATAAAACTCGGGACATTTGAGAACCCTCGAGAAAGGTTGAAAACACTGGCCTACGGCTCGTGTTTTCTGCATTTCCCTCGTGTTCTCAAATGCCCGTCATGTTTTATCACAGTGTAATACACGGCTTAAGTTTCTTTAATTGTTAATTGTGATGAAGTTTCCAAATAACTTGCGCTCTGATTGGCTGAAACAGCGTGCTTTATCAGATAACAGATGCACGGTAAGCCGACTTTTCTTTTTGCTTCAGAACTTAACAAATTTGACCCAAATTAAGCATCCCCTGTGACTCAGACAATAGCAGTGCAAATGGGCTATTTGTCTGCAGTAAACATTGCTGCATGGAGGCCATTGTCAATAACAGTAGTGAAAAAACTGTACTAAAACAACAAGTTTTGCTAGATGCCGACAAAATGGTCATAGCGAATGCTTCGATAAAAGACATCATCTTTGTTACTGTTTGTGAGCGGTAAACGGAACGGTACTGGAACAAAGCACTTCAAAATCGGTAAAACGGTACACAGTAAACGGCTCAAAACTCTCTAAAAGGCACAACAACTGCTCACTGGAAACTGTCTCAACTTTCCCGATAAAACGTCCGCGCAACTTAAATTCGTACGCGCAACTAACGTACGCGTAACTTAAATTCAAAGTGTTTCCGTGCGCGCGCGCCATTCGCGCGTCACGCCACTTCGGAACTGTCTTCTTAGCATTTTGCCCACACTGGGAGGTAGTCCCAGTGTGTCTCTAAATAACTGACTATCAATTAATTCCAAGCGGAATCAGTTTCGTAATTGGTCTCACGACAGTCTTGGCGCCACATACAACTTTAGTTACACGGTTGTGCCCGTCTCGTCCAGGATACACTTCAGTAACCCGCCCTAATGGCCAACGTTCTCTCGGAGAATCGGGCTGAATCACGAGAACTACATCATCAACTTTTAGGTCTTGGTTTTCTCATGTCCACTTTGGTCTGCTGTTAAGGGCAGGAATACATTCTTTGAGCCATCTTCTCCACACTTGTGAAATAATGTCTTGAACCTTTCCCCATCGTTGGGGTGGACGAAAGTAGCGGTTTTAACAGACTCAGGCGCGAAATGTCCTCCCATTTGGCCATGCAAGAAATGGTTAGGGGCCAATGGAACGCTGTCTCGTGGATCCGAGCTCTGATAGGTCAACAGACGGGAATTAAGAAGAGACTCCACCCCGGCAAACACTGTGATCAGCTTCTCATCGGTCACAACTCGGTCTCGTACAACGGCATCAGTGGCTTTCTTACAAGCTTTCACCATCACTTCGTAGGCTCCTCCCAAATGCGAAGCAGCTGGCCGGTGTTTTGAATCTCCATGTTACTCCAAGCTCGGCTGTCTTGCTCTCAAGTTTCTGTCTGTCTAACCGACTGGCTAATTTCTTTAACTCGCCCACTGCACCTACGAAATTCGTGCCTCTGTCACTTATCAACTCCTTAGGAACTCCACGACGACTGGTAAAACGAGTGAAGGCGTTTAAGAACGTGTCGGTATCTAGTCCTCGGGCCATCTCTAAATGCACTGCTCGTGTTTACAAGCACGTAAACAGGCACAGCCACCTTTTCTGTCGAAGTTTTCGGCGTCCTTGAACGGTATACAGAGAACCTGCAAAATCCACGGCTGTTTGGGCGAAGGGCCGGAAAGTAAAACGCAGCCTTGTCTTCGGGAGTGGCGCCCTAATCTGATAAGCTGGCTTGTTCCGTCTTTACTTGCATTTATTACATTCATGGTCCCACTCACGGATCTCCTCACGTACGGCGATGATCCAAAATCTCTCACTCAACTGGCAAAGAGTGAAGTTTACTCCAGCGGCATGATTTGCTCTCTCATGATTATTCTTCACAATCAGTTTTGTCACCCTGTGTCCGCGAGGCAGAATGATTGGACATCTGGTGTCGGAGGGAAGGAACTCTGCGAACTTTAAACGCCCGTCACACCGGATGACGCCATCTTCGTCTATGCATGGCTTAAGCTTGATCAACTGGCTTTTCTGTAGTATCGGCTTACCCAAGCTCAAAGCTGTGTACTCGTCATGGAATGCTTCGCGTTGTGCTAAGCTCACTATCTCCTCTTCAGCATCCTTTATTTCTTTGGGCGGCAATTCGATGCCTGCCTTTCTGTCGTCTCTACTGGGCAGGTTGTGCAGCACTCTTCTCACTCTTGCGTGTACTCGAACCAAACGTGTCCAGCTAGAGAACCGCTTCGGATCAAGTCTCCACACTTTACAACTGTATGCGTTTCGGCGCAGCTTCTTTCTGAGTCCATTGTTTGCGGGCTTGGCAAAGCTGCACTGGGTCAGATGAGGCCATTTATTCTGATGTTCGTTCCAGTTCACAACTCTGTAATTGCCTGTGACTTTCTGCAGGCACGTTTTCACGTTGATTTCTTTTGAGAACTGCCCATCGACGCTTTCAATTTCAATCTTTAACGGCATGGAATGAAAGGTTTCTACTCTATCATTGAGAACATGAACTTGAACTTTCTGGAAAGGTTCTTGTAGTCCCAATACCCCAGTAACTTCTTCGTGTAGGAAAGTCTCGTTTGATGCGTCATCGAGGATAGCATTTATCTTCACTTTTCTACCATTATGCCTTCATCCACACAGGGACAGTTCGTAACGAATATGATTCAATTGGCGTTTCGGCATTACAGCTGGTCATGGTCACAACGGGCACCCCCTCCCAAGGAACGACTGGGTGTCTTTCTTCGTCAACACGGGGCAACGTAGT